CCCAGACGTAGTTGCTTCGAGAGAATAGCGAGGGCAGTTCTGCCTCGACTGACCCTTGCATCACTTCTACCCTTGGTTAGAGGCAAACGTTTCGTGGCGCCAGAGGTCTGTAAGAATGATCGGAATTGGGCAATGGCACACCAGTACCGTGCCACACTATGACTCGAAGGGGCATTGGGACAGCCATTGGTGTCTTTCACCTAGGGTGGCCAGATATTATAGTGACATAATCAGTACAGTTGGGATCAAAAATCAGTACAAAGCCATAAAAATCAGCTCATTTTGAAGCGTATTTTTATACCCGAGCCCACTTGTGCACAAGGGTATATCAACTTTGTTCACATAACANGTTGTTTGTAACAGCCAAAACGAATCGAGATAGATATAGACAAAAGTATACATAAATGCTTAGAATGAATAGAGAAGTCGATTAACCATGTCTGTCTTTCCGTCCGTCTGTCCGTCTGTCCGTCCGTCCGTGTACACGATAACTCGAGCAAAAATTGAAATATCTCCACGAAATTTGGTATGTAGGATTCCATTTATCCAGGGTAGGTTGGTATTGAAAATGGGCGAAATCGGACTGTAACCACGCCCACTTCCCATATAACGGTAATTTTCAGAATTGCGAAAACTGCGATATTTTAGTAACTAATGAAGATAATTCACTCAAAATTGATATTTACAATAAATTTTTGACGAAAAATAAGAATATATAAATTTTTGGAAAATGGGCGTAGCCACGCCCACTTATGGTTACATCTTGATAAAGCAAACCAAATGGCCGAAAATTAAAAAAATCGGACAATAACCACGCCCACATCCCATATAACGGTAATTTAGAGAAATACAAAATCTTTGAGGAATCAGTAAATATTAAAGCTAATTTATTCAACATTGATGCTTGCAACAATTCTATACCAAGAAATACGTTATATAAAATTTTGGAAAATGGGCACGGCGCCGCCCATTTATGATCAGATATATGTATCTCGGTAACCGTTCTACCAATTTGTACCAAACTCGGTATGGTTATTATGCTTGCCACATCAAAGCAAAACTTTGAAAATTATCGAAATCGGAATACAATTACTTCCGCTTTTCATATAACGACAATTTTCAGAAATCTTGAAACTTCAATATTTCGAAATTTAAAGACGCTAATTTTCTCAAGATTGATACACCCCGGCTTACCATGTAGCGGTTGCTTTCGGAAAGGTGAAAAACTTATATTTAATACTAGCGCCGGGTATTTAATGTTCGGCTCCGCCCGAACTTAGACTTTCTTACTTGTTTATTATTAACAATATAACAACCAAATAACAGCCCAATAATTTAACAAAAAATAACGAATAGACTTTTAAATACATATAGTATTATTTATAAAAAAATTCATTACTTTAAAACAAATCAAAGGTATTACGTATGCATGTACAGCTGTGCACACGAAAATAGTAGTAAAATGTATTGACAGGTTTTGAAATTTTTTCTTTCCTTACCTAATTTAATTTTTTTATAAAAATATAGTTAATTCTATAATAAAAGACAATTGAGTTGAAGTCTCAAACTTTCTAGAAAATTTATAAAAACTGAGAAAATTAAGTAAAAGACGAGCTCGAGTCAGAATCTGTTTTCATATTTTAAGCTACAAATTTAAAAAATATTTAGTTGGTGCNCAAAAGACAAGTGAGTTAAAGTCTCAAACTTTCTAGAAAATTTATAAAAACTGAGAAAATTAAGTAAAAGACGAGCTCGAGTCAGAATCTGTTTTCATATTTTAAGCTACAAATTTAAAAAATATTTAGTTGGTGCGCTTATAAAATACAACATTCAGTTTGCACCTTTCCCAAATTTTTAGAACTTACATTGCACCGTTGGAGTAGTCGTCTTAAGCTTGACATACTGACAGCCGATTTCTCAGTGGATGTTTAATTATAATCAACACATTATCTCTTATTGTCATCTTCTCAGTGTACTTAATATATGATTAACTCACCACCACCTTTCATAAGATTTATTAAAGGCTAAACCAGCTTCTCCTGTAAATCCTGTAAAACCTGCAAATCGTGAAGTTGGGTTGGGTTGAATCCAAACAGTTTGTTATTTTGCGAAATCCTAGGAAACGAAACAATTGCAAGCTGACACCTTTTTAATAATGGTTTCAATCTGCTCACACGTATGAGTTGTCAAAAACCATTGTTTTGACAATGTAAACCTCAAGCAAATGTCAATTACACCAATTTACAAAAGTATTTATTATATGTAAAATCAGTACAAACCCAAAAAATCAGTAGATTTTGCGTACTGATTTCGGGCTCTTAAAAATCAGTACAATAGAAAAAAATCAGCACATGTACTGATTAAATCAGCGCATCTGGCCACCCTACTGTCACCACAGGTTTCCTTCTCTTGCAACTAGGGATGCCAAAATATCAGGAAAATTGGTATCCCAGGATTTCGGGATATTTTTTAGGTAATCCTAAATCAAATTGAGTCATAAATTTTATGAATATGAGTAAAAATTCAATATCTGAAAGCATTTAAACATACCACGGAATAAAACTATTTAATATTTACGATAAACTGATTGTAAAACTCATATATCGCTAGCTTAGAGTGAAAAGTTGCTAACTTCACTTTTAATGAAACATCATATTTTGATATAAGAGTAGCCTATTGCATCGTTTCGAAAAGGGTAAGGGTCCTTGTTTTATGTTTTCTCGTTTATATTCAATGAAAGGAAAATTTGCTAAGGCCAAAAAAGCTCAGAAAATTCGATAAGGCCAAAAAAGTTCGAAATCTTTTAATAAAGATCGAATCCCTCTGATTCCTATGGAGTTTTGCTTTGCTTTAAACTTGTATTTAAAGTTTTGCGAAATACTTGAATAAATTGGCTATACGAAGTTTTTTCCTCTCCTATACAATTTTTGAATTGGGACTTAGCAACTTTGCACTCTACGCTTGCGATATTTATTTATTCAATCAGATGATTGAAGAACGTATACACCACAAATAATAATTTAAATACCAGGTACTTTTGAAAGTAATGATTAATAAAAAACATAAAACAAAAATATACAAAAACAATTCCTCTAAACATGTTTATTCTACTCTATAAAGAAATGGCGAATGGAGAATTTTTTGCCATTTTTTTCGCAATTTACTAGAAATTTTGAGGGTGTACGAGTCAAACGGATCTCAGAATCGGATTCAGCGGGTCGAAATACATGTTGGTAGGTGGGTGTGGTTAAGAACACACACCCCTTTTTTCATTGTTGTTGTTATTGCACTTAAAATGTTTTCATAAGAGCAGCAAAGCATTCAAAGCGGAGTTTTCTAAGCTTGACCTGCAGTTANCCCCTTTTTTCTGTTGTTGTTATTATTGCACTTAAAATGTTTTCATAAGAGCAGCAAAGCATTCAAAGCGGAGTTTTCTAAGCTTGATCTGCAGTTTTTACATACAAAACCTACTGATGGAAAACATATTTCGGCATCAACACTTTTAGGCTGAACTGCCAAAAGGTAGACATAATCCATTTGAAGATAATGACCTCTATCTCCACTATTACAAAATATTTGAACTTCTTTTACCAGCACGTTTCTCGTTTTTCGATTTGAGGAAGTTTTGAGTAGATTGATCTAAAAAATTATCTAACTTTTCCTTAAAACTCTCTGTTTCGTTTACATCAGCGACGCTATGAGTAAATTCATTGAAATCTTCTTCAAAAAAGGCTCAGACTGCAATTTAAAAGTACAGTTTCAAGCTTTTTGTTAATTGCAGTCAAAACGGCATTTTACAAAAATCATACTTCAAAATTCATAAACAAATTCTTACTATCAATTCGATATTGAAAAATTTTCAGGATCCCGGGATTAATTCAAGCAAATTTGGATGTTCGTACACTGAGGGAAATAATGCATAGTAAAAATGAATACTTTATATTTGATTATCGTTTAAAAATGTTCGTATTTAAAAATAATATTTTCATACAAAATGTATTACGCACGTATTTGACTGTTCACATGTGAGTATGAATATGTAAGTGTACATACGCACCCCAAGCATGCAGAGCGCCGCTCTGAGAGCGGTGACAACACACACATACATACATAGTACATACATGTTTATCAGTACAAATCGCGTGCTGTGGTGTTGATGGATATTCAACATTTGAAAGCAAATTTATATGTCTGGTTGTAGCTGAGTGCGCAAAGATGCTTGTCACAAGTTGTTGATATCCGGAGATGCTCGGGTTCGAATTCCACTGCAGGCAACATGCAAATAAATTTTTTTTTTGTTAGTTTTTGTCTTGATTATTCACTTCACGGATGCTTTTTCAGTACGAACGCGGTCATTTTAATATGCGCGTAATTGAAATGAATATTTACCAATATACAGTACTTTCGTTGACGTTTATAGTAGGATCAATTACGTTTCTATTTGATTTTAATATTTTTTTCCCTCAGTGTAGCAGATAATACTTTGAAACGCGAGAGTACTTGTTTTTAATAATATCTTGGTATTGTAGTAGTAGCGTAGGGTTGCATATACACGTGTGTGAATAGGGCTTGGGATTTATACGCGTAGGGAGTGAATAGGCCTTAGTGTTATACATGTCGTATGCTAAGTAACTAGACCTTAAGATTAGTAAAAATCCTAGCGAGTAGGAGAAATAGCTGTAATCCTAGCGAGTAAGTACTGCTTGTTATTTTTGAAGAAAATAATAAATATTCATTCGACGTTAACTGTGAAACCACACGGCTGGTCATTTTTTAGTGCGGTCGTCAATTCAAAGGTAAACGTAGCGTTTTTCATCAGAAGTGGTCTTGAACCCTTCCAACCTAAAAAGTAAATTTTAAAACTCGAAAATGAATCCGGAAAGCATAAGTGCCGATAAGTATACGCTTCTCCAGTTGAAAGCGTGGTGTACGGCGGTTGGCTTTAACGCGAGCGGGGCCAAAGCTTCGCTCACTGCACGGCTTAATGACCTCTCGGTGAGGCACGCGGACTATGCCCAGGGGATACCGAGACTAGAGATGAAATCATTGAAGTACTGGAGATTGCAAGTGGCGAAGTTTCGGAAAATCTTGACGACAACGGTGCGGTTAAAAATGGTGCGACTAGCAAAGGCGCGAATAACCGTAGAGGTGCAAGTAACGGAGATGAAGCCAACGACAGTGGTGCGAGTAATGGAAAAGTAGCGGACAACAAAGGTGCGGGCAACAAAGGTGCGGAAAACAAGGGTGCGGACAAGGACAATGGCGCGAAAACGGGTAAATTCCCAGATAACGGCAACGGGGCGAACAACGTTAATACTGGAAATTTCGTAGGTGCGATCAATACTGGTGGTAAAAGTGGTAACGGTGATCAGCAGCAGCAGCAAGAAAACAACGGGTCGATGCGCCTACGTAGTGGAAGATTTGGCCACCAGATATTAGGCTGAGAAATCGTGTACAGCCCCAGAAACACAGTCAGTGCGCCAAACTTGTCCAACGATGCCGATGCTACTCGAATTGAAATTGGAGTTAGAGAAAGAGAAAAGTAAGACGGTCGGTACGTCAAGCAACACGAAACCCGAAGTTCCGTTTGAAACCCTAAAGGAATCGGTTGCAGATATGATGGTTTCGACGATTTTGGTACATGGTGGTCCCAATTGCTGAATTGTCAACAAATGCTGAAAGTTAGTGACGAAACATTGGGAATAATCGTCCGCCTAATGTTGAAAGGCGAAGCGCTGTCCTGGTACAACGCAAACTTGATGCTTACGCGGAGCGTTGGTGAAGTGCTCACTGAGTTAGCAGCAATATTTGCGAAAACAGACAACATACTAAGTGTACGCAGAAAATTTGAAAGGCGCTATTCGAAATTCGTTCAATTCTTCGGGAATTATTCCAACGACAAACGACTCCCAAACAGCGGCCTTAACCTCAGCGATAGGCAGATGCAAATCCAGGCAAAAATGCAGAACTTTAAAACTGCCAACGAGGTCGTTAGAGCATTTCGCACAATCGAGTTTCCAAAACGAGTCCAACTAAGAACCAATGCACAAAAAGATGGAGAGCGATTGCGGCGCTACAACTGTAACTCAACAGGTCACTTGTCAAGGGAGTGCAGCAAACCTAAACGCGATTTCGGAACGTGCTTTGCATGCGGTGAAAAGGGCCATTTCGCAGCGGCTTGCAAGCAATATAAGAAGCCGGCGGCTAGCAGTAAGCAGTGTGTAAGTTATTTTAGTATTAATATTGTAGAAAACCCTAATGTTGATATGATTGTAGAGTGCCTAATCGGTTCGGGGAGCCCAATAAGCTTGATTCAGAAACATCTAGTACCAGAAGGAGTTCAGCTACAAGAAGTACATAAAATTTACTTTGGTTTAAATAAATCTAAGTTAACAACTTTTGGAAAAATAGAATGTTACGTTAAAGTTGTGAATAAATATGTTTTGATCGAACTTGTAGTAGTGCCTGACGAATTGATTAGCTACCAAGTTATACTGGGACGAAATTTTATAACGGCAAGCGAAGCCAAACTTAAAATTGGTAACATGGAAATTGTAGATGCGACCTCAAATACAAATTTTTAAAACTATGTAGGGGAAACTTGTGATATTGATAACAGAAAAGGTGTTAGCGAAAACGGTGCGTGCGATAAAATTAGTGAAGCTGTAAGCGAAATACTAGGGATAGAAATAAATGATACAGACAAAGTTGAGTATGTGGTTGGAGATAAATTTGTAGTAAAGTTAGAGAACGTTTTGAGGAGTTGTTTCGCAAAGAATACCTAAGTGCGGAACGGCCAACTATACCCAGTGTTAAAAAAGAAATGCCGTTCAGCTGTGCTCATAGGAGGTTGTCATACAATGAAAAATTGGAACTGCAATAAATATTAGATGATTATTTAGCAAAAGAGTATATACGCCCTAGTGATTCGGAATTTGTGTCGCCAATAGTATTAGTAAAAAAGAAAATGGGCGAGTAGAGGATGTGTGTCGACTACAGAAAACTTAACAAGGCTACGACAAAGGATTGCTATCCTATTCCTCTGATAGATGATTTGTTGGATAGGCTAGTTAACAAAAAATTTTTTACAAAGTTAGACCTCAAAAACGGATTTTTTCACGTGTTCGTAGAAGAGAAATCGGTGATGTATACTTAATTCACAACACCATTAGGACAGTTCGAATTTCTGAGAATGCCGTTTGGGTTAAGAAATGCCCCCGCAACGTTTCGAAAGTTTATTAATAAAGCCTTTTCGGAAATGATACGTTGCAATGAAGTTATTGTATACCTCGACGACATGATGATTGCAACCGAAACTTTAGGTGAGCATTTACAAATTTTACCAAAAGTGTTGCAATGTCTTGTTCAAAACAAATTAGAACTACGGTTAGATAAATGCGAGTTCCTTCAAGAAGAAATTTCATATTTAGGCTACTCAATCATGGGCAAAGTCATAAGAAGGGGTTGAAAGCAGTTGAAAATTTTGCAGTACCAACAAAAGTGCAGGAAGTGCAGAGCTTCTTAGGACTCTGCTCATATTTTCGCAGGCTTATACAAAACTTCTCAACCTTAGCCAAAACACTTTATGATCTTTTAAAAAAGGAAGCAAAATTTCAATTCGGTCAATTAGAAGTAGAAACGTTCGATGTATTAAAAAGGAAATTGATGGCGTCCCCTGTTTTAGCGATATATGATCCCAAGGACACCACAGAACTCCATTATGATGCGCGTTAGGTTTCGGAGCTATATTACTTCAGAAAAAAATGATAATAAACTACATCCGTTTTTTATTTTTCCAAACGTACAACTGACGTAGAGTCTCGATATCACAGTTTCGAGTTAGAAGCGTTAGCAATAATTTACGCGCTAAAAAGGTTCAGGGTGTACATGCAGGGCGTTAAATTTAAAATTGTCACCGATTGTAACTCCTTAACACTGACGCTTAACAAAAAAGACATATAGGATAATTAGGTGGGCACTCGAGTTAAAAAAGCTATGATTATGAGCTAGAACATAGGGATGGCAAACGAATGCAACACGTGGATGCACTAAGCAGAGCAAACAATGTACTGGTAGTCCAAACAAACACATTTGAAGAAAATCTAATAATATGTCAAAATAGAGACGAAAAGATAGCAGAGATAAAAAAGGGACTAGGAGCCACAGAAAGTAGTCAGTACGAAATGCGAAATGGAATCGTTTACAAAAAAAAAGGTGAGGATTTGCTATTTTACGTACCGGAGTCCATGGAACAGCATGTCCTGTATAGATACCATGACGAGATGGGGCATTTAGGCATAGACAAAGGGGCGGAGACAATGGGGAAACGCTATTGGTTCCCGAAGATAAGAATAAAGACGCCTTATATGTGAGCAACTGTTTGAAATGTATAGCTTTTTCAAACAAGAACGGAAAAAATGACTCTTGCACATGATTCCCAAGGGAAATAGACCGTTTGAAATGGTACTCATAGATCACTACGGACCAATTCATAGCGAAAATTCGAAAAATAAATACGTGTTAGCAATAGTAGATTCTTTTACAAAGTTTGTGCGCTTTTATCTGGCGAAAACAACGGCGTCTAAAGAAACAGTCACAGCGCTGAAAGATTATTTTCGAGCCTACACTAGGGCGAAAACTGTCGTTTCAGATCGGGGCACCTGCTTCACTTCTAAAGAATTTAGCGATTTTTTAGAAGACAATGTTCAACATGTAAAAGTAGCGACAGGCTCACCCCAAGGGAATGGTCAAGTCGAGATCATAAATTAAAGTTTATGACCGATGATAGCGAAGATGGTTGACTCAGAGAAAAATATGGGGTGGGAAAAAGTCTTAGAATCAGTTGAACATTCCATAAATAACACCGTCCATAAAGCAATTAGAAAAGAGCATAGTATATGTTGTTTGGCGTACAGCAACGGGGTAAAGTAATAGATAGCGTCAGAGAAAATATTCCAGACTGGATTCAAGCATCCAGTAACAAAACAATAGAGAACATAAGGGAAAAGGCAGAAGTCACACAATTGAATGCGCAAAGTTACAATAAAGCATACGCAGACGCCGAGCGTCGAGAGTCTCGTAAGTTTGATCTAGGAGACATGTGGTAATTTCTAATATCAGTTCACAGGTAGGGGCTTCAAGCAAGTTGATCCCAAAGTTCAAGGGACCGTATAAGATATCCAAAGTCTTAGAAATCGATCGCTACTTGGTAGAGGATGTAGAAGGCTCCAATAAACCCAAATACCCTACAAAGGGGTCTGGTCAGTTACAAATCTTAAACCTTGGTACGAGTGCAGAAAGTCAAATGTTAGCAATACAGCAGAGAGAATCGAAAAAAGTTAGTAATGCAGTGTACTAGCATGCAACGGCGTAGAATCGGGTGATTCTATTTCATCAGGACGGCCGACTTGTAGTAGTAGCGTAGGGTTGCATATACACGTGTGTGAATAGGGCTTAGGGTTTATACGCTTAGGGCGTGAATAGGCCTTAGGTGTTATACATGTCGTATGCTAAGTAACTAGACCTTAAGATTAGTTATAATCCTAGCGAGTAGGAGAAATAGCTGTAACCCTAGCGAGTAAGTACGCTTGTTATTTTTGAAGAAAAGAATGAAGATTCATTCGACGTTAACTGTGAAACCACACGGCTGGTCATCTTTTAGTGCGGTCGTCAATTCAAAGGTAAACGGAGTGTTTCTCAGTATGGGTAAGGCTTCCTCAAGTGGGCCCGAATTCACCAAGATTATACTATTATTTTCCAAGAAAAGCAAAAAAAAAATTTTTACCGCAAATAACTTCATTGTATAGTTGAATGTTTTTTAACTCTGCACCCAAAAAAATTGTTTCATTCGGACACTTACCTTAAAAAAAAATAAAAATTTCCAAAAAACTGCAAAAATTTTCAATTGTTGATTAAAAACAAACTATTTGGAATTTTGCAACAAAATTTACACAGTGTACTTTTCGACTATAAAACTCGGCGCTGCCTGAATATCATTGAAAAATATTAATCTTGGCAAATTCGGGGCCCACATGAGGAAGCCTTACCCGTTTATAAATAAAATGTTGTTCATAAAAAATAAATATGTTATTCATTTTAATATGAGTATACACATTAACATGTAGTACGAGATACCTTTATAATATTACAGGAGCCAATAAATTATTTTATATACATGACATTTTTTAATAGCAATAATGAGATCATTTCCACTTTCAGCGTTTAAATAGTCAAAGAACTCTAAACATTATAAATATTTTAATATTACTTTTAATTTGAAGTTCACTTTTTTAAATTTTAATTAGAAGTCGGTTTCTCCCTTTTCGCCAGCAAGCAAAGCAAACTTTATATTTAAGTTAGTTCCTCTCAGGTGCTTCGTTTGAACGTGGTATTGAAAAAAACAAAATTACATATTTATTAAAACTGAAAGAGACCTCTATTTAAG